TTACTAGGCCACATGATCTTGGTGGCACCTGCAAACTTGAAGTTATTTCTGACTGTCTTTGGGGTTTCAACTCCTTGTAGTTGGTCCTAGCTGCTGGTGTTTTGTTGACTCAGGAGACATGGCTTTCCACAACCTGAGCAGTGAGCAAAGTTTACTGTTGACAGCTCCTGTTTTTTCTGTTTTATGCTGTTCTGAAATACTGTTTGAAGATTTGGAACTAGTGTTTCTTAATATTCATTGGATATGACATGAACTGAAAAGGCATCTCGGAGAATTAAAAAAAAATATTCCATGTCTTGATTTTTAAAATAAAATTTCATTTGAATAGAGGGATATGGATGGAGTAGGGCAAAGGCCTTGGCTTATCACTTCTGATTGCTCATGGCTGTTGCTGTCCTGTGCTTTCACAGCCAGGTATCCTTTTGACACTATCAAGCAGGAGTGGTTTTACTTTCTTTGCTGAACTCGCTGCTGCTTGCTCATCTGTAAGACACAGCTTTGCTTGTGAATGGTCATCCCTCATAAAGCAGAGGTCAGCATGCTTCATGTTTACCAGAGAATTTCTGAAAGTATCTGCTTACATGTAAGAGCAGTTTTATGTCTGAATTAGAGCTTTGCTTAGTTTCAACACACTGGCTTAGACAAGGGGTTGGCTGGAAAACTAAAAGCTCTGGTAGCCTTTCAGACAAGTGGGCTACGTTTTTTTTGACAGTGTAGCTTGATACCCTCAGATCACCAAGAGGCGATACTGAAAGCAGGAAGATGAGATGCCTTACTCATTATTTGGATTTGTAGTAGGACGATAGGGAGGAAGGCAACCCTTGCTTTCAAAAGCAGCAGACATGCAATGCCTTTTGGTCATACAGCTGGGCCTTAGTTTGCTGTTCCTCTTCAGCTGTAAGGAGGCACTTGTATGGGATGATATTAAGATGTTGGTTTCTTGTATTTGGCACTCTGCTGCAAAGTATGGTCAGTTTATGCATCTCAAGGGTTGATTTTTCTTGTTTGGGTGCTGATTCAGGCAAGCTTGCTCTTGATGTATTTTTAAACCTCAGGGCTGAAATGGTGCTTTTGTCTCTTACCAGTTCCTCTTCCTTCTTGGATGTAATTTTGAAGATGCAGCTCTTAGCAGCTCTGCTGCAAGGTGTGATCTTCATTTTAAACTTGCTGCAGTCCTCTGGATTTGAAGTACAGTCACTTTTTGTAGCACATGTGACTCCTCTTAGAAATACTGCATTTATAATTGGTATTTTCTTTAACAGATTATTAAGACCAATTATTTTAACACTGCAATTTCTCATCAGTATTACAAGGAAGTGTGGTTGTTCTATCTTTCACATCATAAAGATGCACAGGCAACAATGGGAGGCAGCAAGCAGGATGGCTAGGTTCTTATCTAAAGAAGTTATGAGCAATGGCATATGGTTGATAACTTAATGGAAGCTGGATAAATAAAGGAAAAGAAGCTCTAACATATCAGGGGAAAAAGTCATTAGTGGACTTTTTCTGTATCCTGTTTTCTATTAGTTTGTACTAAACTGCTTTGAAAATCTTTGAGCTTTTCCTTTGGTCTTCAAATAATGGGTTCTCATATTGAACACATTTGTTTATCTCAAGGGCTGAATTGTTTGGGTGCTTTTGACTTCTGCTTTGCATTTTTCTATCTGTGTTTGAACACAAAATTCTCTCGTCCTGTTTTTTTAGACCTTTCCATAAAGCTTCAGGAGCATTAATGTGATTATACAAATAACATTTTAAAAGTGAAGCAAATCCCTTTGCAAGTGATACAAGACTTCAACACATGGCTCTTGATTTATACAATGAGATATAATCAATTCCCTTGCGCCATTATTAGAAAACAAAATGTGAGTGAATTTTGTATCAAACTTCGTAGCAAGTTTTAGAATGGTATCCAAGTTTTTTAATGTTTACCTATATTATTTGCATGCAATGAAAGAAGAGGAAAATATATTCCTAGGGGGCTGTTAAAATGGGCCTTGCACTGTTTTCATAGACAAGATGAGTTAGAAGTTGTTTTAAAGAAAGCATTTTGAGGTTGAAGATTGGGTGCTCAAAATGCAAAGAAATGACTAAGGTATTGGTCAAAACTGGTCTTGGGTATGAATTCCTATTGCTCAGGACCAAATGCTCTGAAGTATTTAACATCATTCTGTGGGTAGGTGGGTGGACTGAGTGATCCAGCCCCAACTCCATACTTGAAATTTTTTTTGCTGTAAAGCTAAAGAAAATATGTGAAAGTTTAGAACTGGGCTATAACTTGTAGGGGATCCCTTACATAGGGAAACTAGATATGCATAAGAGAAACAAAACTAATACTGAGGACTGGTTGCATCCTTTTCAGTGCTTCTAGGTTTGTATTTTAAAGGCCAAACAAAACAAAGATGAATTTTAGTTATGTACTTGAGTGTTTTTGAAAAAAATAAAAAATTTTAAAAACCTCAACAACAAACCCTTACATTTGGAGTATTTAAAAGCATGGATGAATGTCTCTGTCAGTTGGGGTCAGAGTGAAATGGAATGAAATACTGTACTGATGTTCATGGTCTGCTCAGAAAACAGGAAGTTGGTGATTTAAAGCTACTCTGGCTCTTGTTATTTGATCCAGTGGGTGCAGATCAGCTCACTGATTCACTTCTTTGCTGGTTCCATGTCTGACCTTTTGAAAGGGATGCAATTCCAACTCACTTCTCATGTGATCTAAGCCACCTCCTCCAGTCACCAACGGGCGTTTCTGGTCAGATTGTAATTTCTGCATCCATTCTATGCTTGGAACAGTTGATCATCAGTTGAAGTTACTGTGCTGTAAACTTTCACAGTTGATTCTGGTACTGAGAACATGGGGGAAAATGAATGGCCTTGCATGTCTTCCCATTTATTTTTCTGTTCTCTGATATGTGTATGACAACTTCAGGTAGAAGAACAGATAGGATGAATGTAAGCGGGGAAGCTGTTTGTTTAGAACTAATACAGGTGGACCGGTTAAATAATCTGCAAGGTAGCGGACAGGTCAGCATGAAGTGCTGATTTTTGGTAGGTACAGTAATGCAATAGCTTTTCTTTGACATGGCTGAGGACAGGCAGACCTGTCTGAAAGCCAGACCTAGCTATAAAGAGGCCAGGTGATTCTTAAAGCTCTGGCTGAGCACAGCCAGGGTGTGGGGGGTTTGCCTCCTGTGAGAGAGCTGGGGGAGCTCAATCAACTGCTTTGGGTGGGGGGAAAAGGCTTTACATGGTTCCACATGTTTTCAGTTGGTTGATTTATTTTAATTAGGATACTATTTTCTGAAAGTCAGGATCCAAGACTTTTTTTCTTGAGCTTGCATTGGGAGACTAAAAGGCCTGTCAACAAATAGATGAGCAGGAGCTATCTTGTCAAAGCCTCATGCAACACTGGAAAATAATCCTGTGTTGATACTTCACTGCAAAGTTTCTCTTACACGTAGGAATCACAGGAAACTTTTGTCATGGAAAGTGACTTCACAGCTGTGTATTCTCTTTAATGTAGCTGAAAAGTGAGAAATGTGGAAGAACACAGCTAGTATTCTGGTACAAGCCAGCTCTGTCTGCCATGGTTGGTAACTGCAAATGTCATGGAGAAACTTCATTCTTATGAAAATATTTTGAAAGTACTTGTTAATTCTCTGATTGTTATTTATGCACTGCATGTCAGATGCCGAATAATTTGAGTTAATTTAAGGCAAGAGAGTAGGAGTAACACATTTGAGGAAGGTTTTGAATATCCCTACTTAAAAATGAAGATATATTCTGTGTATATGCACACAAGAATAGGGTTCTTTAAACACATTATTTATTCTTGAATTTTGAGTGCTGTGAAAGATGTTTCAGATGAATATAAGTAAACTGTGTTAAGAGACTACCAAATATTTTCTGTAATAACTGTTTAGGTGGGTAGTTTCTAGAAAGTAATCTTATAAACTGGAATATTTATATAAAGAAAAAAATACCTGTATTGTGGCTCCATTTAAGGGGAAAAACTGCATCATTGATCATCTAGTTTCAATTTTTGTGTTGGGGTGCAACAGAGATGGAAGATTTCTTAGTTCTTGTCAGTTTATTTGCCCTGTCTGTGATTGGAGAAGCTAGAAGGTTTACTGTCAATATTAGTACATATGAAATCTCAGAAGCTTTTCAAACCTCCATGGTTTGGGTTGGTACTTTTCATCTGGCAATTTCAATCTTGTAGCGCTTGTTTGTGAAACATGTATGTTTAGAAAACTTCCCTGTTTTTTAAGTCTTTAAACATTACTTGTATCAGCAGTGTTGTAATCACAAGAATTGAAACTGGAGAAGGGGGAGGTGAGGCTATGGTGAATAAAAGAAGGGTCCAGACTTCTTAGTGGGGGGCTTTTCTCTTCCATGAATGCATGAATTCCTCTTGGACTCCTTTATCATCATATTCTGTGGATTCTTCAGGAATCCACATGCACTGATGCGGCTTTTGATTTGAAAGATGTTGCAATAATAATTTGTAATCTGAAAAAGGGCATTTCTTCTGGATTTGGTTAGCAGCCAGAGATCCAGGGAACCCATACAATATTTATAGTAATGAAGCCCATGGCCACTGTTATTTGTGCAATTACAGTTTCAAGAAGGAATGCAGGTTTTTTGTTGTTCTCCAGAAGCCAAGCAGCTGCTAGATATTTTTTTTTTGCTTTTTAAAAAATCAGATTTCTTTATTTTGCCTGTGACCATGTTTTGCTGACTTATTTGGAGAGATCTTTATATTCTAGTTACTGAAGGTTTTAGTTCAGCCAAAAGGCTTTTCATCTGCTCCTCTATTTTGATCTAAGTTTCTGTAATTTGTTCCCCTCTGACTCTTCCTTTTTCCCAATACACTCTTCTCCCAGTCACACAGATGCATGAATGGGTGTTGTAGAGCTAAACTGTGTGTTACTTGGCCTTGTACATGTGTTGCACTCATGCAATTAATTGCTTTTTTCTGGCCTTTTTGTCAATAGGTGACAAAGAAAGTCAAGTCCATGCAGATGTTTCATACTCCTGTGACTTATGCCATGCAGGGTGACAGAGTAGGTATCTGTGTAACCCAGTTTGATCCAAAACTCCTAGAACGAGGCTTAATTTGCACCCCAGAGTCACTTCATACCATCCATGCTGCAATCATTTCCCTGAAGAAAATCCAGTATTTTCGAGGAGCTCTTCAGACCAAAGCCAAGTTCCATATCACAGTTGGTCATGAAACAGTTATGGGAAAAGTCATGTTTTTCAGTCCTGCCCCTGCTGACTTCAATGAAGAAATACAAGAAAATGTTTTTGATTTTGAGAAAGATTATCTCTATCAAGAGGAATATCTGTCCAAGGACTCAAATTCTTCAGAGGATAACAAAGAAAATGATCAGGCAGGAGAAGTCCAGCTCCCAAAACAGCAGTGGGCTTTGCTGGAGTTTGAGAAACCAGTCACTTGTCCTCGACTGTGCCTTGTGATTGGCTCCAAGCTGGATACAGATATTCATGCAAATACCTGCAGGTTGGCATTCCATGGGGTACTGCTCCAAGGCATGGAAGACAAGAACTACATGGAAACTTTCCTGCCAAAGCTGAAAGTGTACAAACTGAAGCATAAAGAAGGACAAGTGGAAAGGGTAAGCTGTCTTTTTAATGCTGTACATGGGAAGGGGAAATACTTGTTTTGTGTAACTACATATATTGGTGAGCTAGAGAATTTTCACTTATGTTGCAGAGTCTTTATACACCTTTCTTATATTTGTGTACCTAGTGTATTACAGCTTGTCTGCTTGCAAACAATCGGAAATGACTACTGAAAAGTGACTGGTTTATCCCAATCAGTGCAGTGTTTGAATAATTTGATGTTGGTTTTTCATTGATCCTTCTGATGCTTAGACACTGTTTTTCCTGCAGTCTTACTTTGTTTGGGTACGTTCCTAAGTGTCTCGTCTATTCTCTTCCAAATTAACAAAACTTCCAGCTTTTTGTTGATGTATTTTAGTTACTCTGCAGTACATTGAAAAATGTATAAACCAAACAGGAAGAGTAGCGTTAAATTACACAATAATGCTTTTTCACATTTTATTAAATAAGAACCTGAATTACTAAAACTTTTTTTACTAGGCAAAAAGCTTCCTACAAAGTGCCTTCCAGAGCTATAGCAGCATCCCACAGCTAGGATCAGGCTGGTGACATGGAGAACTTGGAAACTTAATCTAATCTGTGTTGTTTCTGTGTTGCACAGGTGTTAATCTGCTGTAATGTATCTACTCACCTCACCTCGCTGGTGGAAAATAAAGGTGCTTACTGGAGAAGCTGGCAGCTAGAATAAAACTTAATTGGGCATTTTTACTGTCCCTTCAGTGCAGATAGGCACTTTCAGTGACCAGTGGTCTGCTATTATTGTTGTCAGAAGTTTGATCTTGGTGGTGGTTACTTCTCAGTAATCAGTGGAGAACCATTTGTTTATACATCCTGCAGTGGAATTTTGCATGATGAATGGTTTAGGTGGAGATGTGCAATATATAAATAATTTATTGCTTACCCCTAAATGAGCAGAGTTGATGTAAACTTTAGCAAATATTTACTCAATGTATTAGTGCAGTAGGTATTTTATTAACTTTTGGGTAAAGAACTGCTAATTTTTAACTTCCCAATCAAAAACCTGATTGAATAAAAAGTTTAGTGTTCTTACTTGTTCTCAAAATCTCATAAAGCTGTGTTGAGTAATGCATCATATCTCTCTCCTTACTATACTGTAGAGACTAAATGCTTAGCATTCCTTACCATGTTTGTATTTATAATGCAGACTGGATACTTTGGTTTTCTTTTTTGTTTTTTTTTGCTTTACTAACTCAATAGTAAAAAACAAACCAAGATTCTTGTCAGGGTGTGATTCTGAATTAGTGAGGTTCTTTTCTAAATGCCTTGCTCCATTAATTGATCAAATGGGTGATTTCCCCATTTTCTTTGAGGTTTTCATGTTGTTATTTTAAGTTTTGGCTTTGTTATTTTTTTAAAAAAAGTTTCTTCTGTGAAAAGAATAGACTCCAGAGTCAGCAGTGGAATTTCAAAGGGACTACAAACCTGAGGTGTTGTGTTGGTTCTTTGGGTACCGGTTTTGTCACTAGGGAGAGGAAGGTATCTGTAGCTTTGTGAAAACTTTGTCTCTATCAAGATGGGTTATATGGGACACCCAAAACCAGCAATGACTCTTCACAAAATTGGTGTATTTTTTCCTTTGTTTGAAACACCCCGCTGCCTTTCTCTTTGGCCGATGATGATGTTGAACATATCCAGAATGTTCTGTCCTCTGAGCTGCAGAGGAAGTTAAATCAAATGTGCATGTCTGGGTACCAGTTCTTGGGATGCTCTAGAGCTATCTGAACTCAGGAAACATTTGTCTTTATCTTAGCTAAAAATGTAATTGCTTCTGCATGGCCTCTGCTACCAATATCCAGCGAGACCTGGCTTACCAGCTCCTTTTGTTTTTCTGTGACTGTAGGAATATGAATGAGAACAGAAGTTTGTGGGATTTGTGGAGACACAGACTGCTTTGTTTTGCTTAATTGAAATGAACTGGTCTCAGATTCTTTTTGGTTTTGCTCCCAGTGCATGGTACCAGCCTATAGGAATTAAAAACTTGCAGAGTATTAACTGTGTTAATTAATTGTGTGAGTTGTCTGACTGAGCTAACAGTTTGTCCTCAGCCTAGGTTGTGCATTTTTAATTGTTTTTATTTACTGTTATTTTCAAATCCTTTGTCAGTTTACTTATTCTGCTATTGATTTTACTATGTAAATAATGGAGTAACATGAATCAAACTACTTGTGTTTTCTGATCCAGAAAATAATCATTAAATGTAGGTTATTGAATATTTGACCAACAGTCATTTATCAGGTTGGCATATTAGTGAACTGTTGTGATATCTTCCCATGCCTTTTAAAATGTAGCTGGGTGGGTTTATTATTTTATCCTGTTTTCATGTCACACACTGTGCCCTAAGTATGGCCCTTGATCACTGTTTGAATACTGACTGGTCCTGTAAATGAACAGTTGCCATCCAACAGTCTGTGGGTTAGGTTTGTTCTCAGGTTCTTCCTCCTGTAGATATTCAGAATTGGCATTTTCCCTGATTTGTGGGCAACAAATGTTATAAGAAAAGCTCATTATGTGAAGTCACAGGTACGCAGGGACTTGGCAGAGTTGGTGGGAAGAGCATTGTGCCAGTTATAAAGGCTGGGGAAGTACATCCAGCATTAGTTGAGGTAACTACTATGAAGTGTGTTTTAGCAGAGGGCAGCAGGAACAATTGGGTGGTACAGTGGCTTATTTTAGTACACAAAGTCACTAGCTAATAGAAAATCTGAATCAGCTGGTCCCACCCTGCTGCTGATGGATGGCTGGAGATTAGGATCGCTGAATTTAGGGTGTCTATTCTTGGCACTGATACAGGAAAATTTCTTTCTCTGTTGAGCAAGGAAGCTTCCCCCTCCTCACCTTCCCTGGGGAGGCATAAAAATCATAATAATAATAATAATTAAAAAATACATGTTGCCTTCACAAGAAGTGAAGTTTTCCTCCAGAGAATTCTGCTTGGGGAAAATGAGCTTCATAGCTTCCTGAAAGGCTGGGAGGGAGGGAGGCAGGGGCACACAGTGTCTGCCTTCCTGGGTTCAGCATGGCTGGAAACACTCTCTGAACTGGGACGCAGTGGAATTCAACAGGACCCGTCTGTAGAACACTGCAGCTAATCTGATGAGGGCTCTCCCAAGCCCCCCACTTGCTGCTAGAATTAAAATAAATTCCCTGCAGTTTAACTACACGTTTACACAGGAGAGATCAGGCATTTACAGTTTGGCTCTTTGTTCATATTCTGATTAATTTCAGAGCACTGATGGAATAGTAAGAATTTTTTAATTCATTAAGTTTCAGCATCACAGGACTTCACTTTTGTGATCCTTGTGCACAACACCCTCCTGGTTGTTAAGGTTTATTTTTTTAATAAAAGAAGATCATTTATTTTCAAAGATTGGCTCTCCAAGAGCAGCTGACACTTCTGCTGTTTCACATAAAAATAACTGGATAAACACTTTTACAAAAGTAAAAAAACCCAAACAACCAACTTTTAAACTAGCAAATGGTCTTGAATTTGTACATTTTAGTAGAAAGTCACGCCTAAGTTTCCTGTTTTTTCCCATCTGTGGTGATAAATGGTCTAGAGAAATTAAAGCACCCTTGCACTTCTGCACTACTCACTGGTTTACTTTTATCTTGCCTCTTTAATGCTAAGACTTGTGAAGCACAAAAAGAGAATCAAAGCCTTGCTACTGTTGTTCACAGGGATCTTTGACTCTAGCTGCTTGCAGTGTATCCTTGAGTCTCTCTCTTCTAATCCTTGCTAATTTATCTGCTGATTTTATTTTTTTTTAATGTATTACTGTAATATCTGAGAAATTTGGCTTTAAAACATTTACCATCTGCCTTTTTGTTGAGTTTGAGGTGCTACATAGGTTAGGAAACTTGTTTCTAACCAGCATGGGGCATCTGGGGCTCTGTACCTATGCTGGGATTGCATCTTGGTTATGAAAAAGTTACACAATTCAAACTGGAGTTAGGATTTTATCTGATGTTTTTGAACTGGTGAAGAAGTGTGTGGATGTTTCTGTTTTGCATTAGACCAGATTTATTTTGGGGTTAGAGTAAGCCTTTAGGGGTTAGTTGTAAGGAAAATAAAAATCTGCGATTCTCTCAGAACTAAGAGGGCACTGGCAAAGGTTTATATTTGCTTAACTTGATGATTTAAGAATGATGTGAAATCCTAGTCCAGTTTTCTCTTTTCAAAGAGGAACTGAGACAGGAGGGTTCAGTGGGAGGAAGTTTCTGTCGAGCATCTTTATGGTGTAGTTGTGTGAAGGCAGGGACTGTTGCCCTCTGGACACTTTATTTTTGCAAACCCTTGGCTATGTGTGTTAAATAGGAGAAAGAGCTAGGCTGGCAGCAAGTGGCTTGTACTGATAAAAAGGTAAAAACAGGGCTGAGAGTGCTATTGTGAGCACCAGGGTCACTTTAAGGAGCGTGATGTGGGAATCTTGGTGGAAAAAAGGGCAAATGAGATGCTGTGAAGGAAGTTTATCCCTCTGAATTGACATCTGATGGTGGCTGTGAGTGAGGGCTTGGTGAATGGTGGCTGGTCAGCAGCCCGTGGAGTCTTGAGACAAGCAAGTTGTGAAGATAAACAGCAACTATTTGCTGTGGTCTTATGCTTCTGGAGATAGGCTACTCACCAGTCAGCTCTTTGCAGTTCTGTGGGCAGAGAGACTTATATTAAACCCAACACCACCTCTGAAACACCTTCCTCTCTGAATTTTAACTCTGCGCAGAATTGCAGTTTAATGCCAATTTGACTCCTGAAGCAGTTTCTCAGTTCCTGGGATAAATCCTTTATAACTTGTCATGTTATTTGCTCTTTGGCTTCCTTGAACATACAGGTTGACTACAGAGTTTCAGCTGAAAGGTGAACTGTAGAAGTGCATCATGTTTTCCTGCATGACTCAGATATTCTGCCTGTTTTGAAAGTGTGTGCACAAGCAGGATTTATTTTGGGATGGCTGCCACAGGGTCCTATTGTCAAGGA